GGAGGGCTCTGACACACACACACACACACACACACACACACACCACCAGCAGCATTAAGCAGTTTGTGTGTGATGTACCATGATACTGAAGCTTTTCAGAGCGTTGAATGTGCTGTGTTGTCAGGCTGCTGCTGCCCTTCATGCAGTCGTACGCTCGCTCTGGAGGCTTCTCCATCACCCGGAAGATTAAAACAGCTCTGATAGAGAACGCTATATACTACCGGACCTACCTGCTCATCTTTGGCTCCCTGCTAATCTACGTGGCTGTTCACCCTGAGTGGCACTTGTCCTGGTGAGTCGGCTCTTGCCGCCCACTTTTACAAATAGTCTCCCACTAATTAAAACCAGTTCCTGGTGTAAGAGACACAGCGAGCAGCTGAACATGCAGTACGCAACCACCATGTACTCTGACAGAAAACATGAGTTCAAAGTTCTGACAGCAGCTGTACCATCTGTATTAACATGTAAAAGAAGTGATGACTGGCAGGGTTCAAGGGTCAGGGTTCAGGCTAACCCGCTCTGCCACGTAGGGTTTAGCTGAGGCTCTGTTAGTAGGTCTGAGCTGCCCTCCCAGTCCCTTTGTGTGACAGACCTGTGGTTCTGTGTGACTCAGGTACGAGCTGCAGACCATCGGCATCACAGCAGCCAACACCTGGGGTCTGTTCCTGCTGGTGCTGCTGCTCGGGTACGGCCTGGTGGAAATCCCCCGCTCCTACTGGAACGCTTCACGCCACGGGCACCTGCTCATCAAGACGTACTTCAAGGCGTCCAAGCTGATGACAGAGAAGGCGGACGCTGAGGAGAACCTGGAGGACATCATGGAGGTGGGCGGCAGTGGCAGATATGACTGTGAAGTATGAAGCTGAGCTCAGTTCAGTGGTTTTACTGTGACATCTGCTCTGCTGCAGGAGGTGAGAAAGGTCAGTGAAGCCATCAAGTATAACCATCCGCTGAGGAAGTGCGTCGATACAATCCTCAGAAAGGTAAGTGGAAGCAGCTTCACCAACAGCTCCTACTGCATGTGTCATAGAGCAGCACCGATAGGTCAGACTGACGCGGCTGTGCCCCCAGTGCCCGGTGGACTACCAAGACAAGATGGGCAGGAACATGGACGACTACGAGGACTTCGATGATAAACAGAACACGTACCCCAGTGAGAAGAGTCTGGTGAAGCTTCATAAGCAGGTGAGACGGTGACGCCTCGAGTGCAGCAGCTCTGACTCCTGTTGCCTTCACGGTTCCAATGGCTGTGCACTAATGACAGGAGCGCCTGTGGTAATCTATGACACACTCCATTATGTATCTGTCTTCTTATTACGTGTCTGTTTTTAGCCAGTGTGATGTAAAAACCCCTTCATCCTCACTAGACTGGACTTTTCTCAGCACCCTGTGACACCTCAGGGTTTTCACTCAGCAGTTCAGTAACATCTGCTGGTGGTTTGCTAACATCTGTAGCCCGCTTGTTCAGAGTCACTGCTGTAAGTGCACATGTTACTGTGTGAGGTCTGCAGGGAAAGGCCTGATGACTGAACACAAGGCCTGTATGTACACAAACCTTTAGCAGAACCACCAGTGATTGTACACAAACCTTTAGCAGAACCAGAGCAGGTACCCAAACAGTGGAGTGAATGAACCGTGGTGACTCTTCACCCTGTTTGTCACCGTGGTAACCTGTGTGTTTCTGTAGGTGATCTACGCCGTTCAGAGGCACAACAGGACCCGAGTCCAGTGGCAGATCCTCCTGCAGCAGGCCGTCCACCTGGAGGACGTAGCTAAGAACGAGGCCAGCTCCACCCACCAGTTTGTGCACAGCTTCCCGCCCTCTGAGCCGGCCGGCTTGTTCGTCAGATATGTCTACACACTGACTGTAGGTGGGTCTGAGTCTGGGGCCTCCAGCTGCTGCCCCCTGCTCTGTCATTGGAGCATCAGTAAAATGGATGTAAAATGCTTTCAAAGCTTTACAAAGAGGGAGCAGCTTCACCACATTTATTAGGTGTCAGTGATACGCACGTGGCGTGAAGCGTGAGAAACAGTGAAGGCAAAGAGAACTTTTCATTGTTTACAAAGCACACACAGGGTGAAAGTGTGAGGAGCTACTCACTGACAGCCTTTTGTTCAGGATGACAACCAGACTACATGAAACTATCCAGGCTTCCTGCTCAGTAAATTAAATATATTGAAGAATAACCAGAGTCGACAGTGAGAGAAACCACAGGAACAAAGCTGTTAATGCTACAAATAAAGCTACAAATCTAGTTTGTAGAAGAAACTCTGAGGCTGAGAGGGTTATGGTTACCTAACCACTGTAGTTGGTGATTTATATGGTTTGTTCAGACTTAGAAGAAACAGGAGCCGCCTCGGAGACGGAAGCTTCTTAAATAAATGGCTAAAAGTGTGTGGAGCTGCAGTCCCGGCCTCTTTTAGAGCAACGAGGCGCCCACGCTGACCAGATGCGTGCGTGTGCTCACTGCAGCTCAGCCTTGGCGCCTTGGGGCCCTGCACTCATGTCCTGTGTGTGTTTGCACAGAGTGGTACTGGGAGTGCCTCCTGAAGCGCTGGTTTTACCGGCTGCTGTCGGTGGTCCTGACTCTGTTCAGCGTGGCCGTGGTCTGGTCCGAGTGCACCTTCTTCAGCACCCGGCCCGTGCTCTCCCTGTTCGCCGTGTTCATCCAGCTGGCAGAGAGAGACTACAACTACCTGTACATCGAGGTGAGACACACAAAGTCGACACATTAGTCTCTGAACCGAAACCGTAACTCAGGTGCTGGTTTCACCGCCCAGCGTCCTGTGGCCAAAGACTCCTGTTAGCGTAGACCTGAAACCACAGCAGAGAGTGGGAGTGGAAACACTGGTCGCACAGTTTTGTTAAAACTCTCTGAGTGTGCCATGGTATGATTTCACTGGGACCAGTAACTTCATGGGGTCTGCACTGGTTGGAACCTGCACACAGACAGGAAACAGTCCAGCACGTAACCCTCACTAAATGGTGAAGGTTTGTTACAGGTAAAACAAAGATCCATCATGTTTCCTCCGCACAGAGCCAGGCCAGCTGTTTCCCCTGTTTCCAGTCTTTATGCTAAGCTAAGCTAACCCGCTGCTGAAGCTCCATATTTATGGTTCAGACTGGTCCCAGTCTGAACCATAAACCCTCAGAGAGGACGACAAGAAGCCGGTCTACCCAGATGCTGAACTACTAATGTCAAGACAGTATTAATGGATATTGTTATCAGTCGGTGTCATTAAATACCATATGGCATTACTTGAAAAGTTTTTTTAAATAACTATTGCCCACTTTTATTCTGAAGGTCGGAGGCAGATCCAGAAACATTTCCTCAGATGTTGACACAGTTTACTGGTTCCTCAGTGCACTGATCTCCATGGCAGGACTTTAGCTCCTCCACTGTTCCCCCAGGAGTCTCCACAGACTCGATTCACTAAACAAATCCAGTTTTAATTTGAAGATAAGACAAGTAGTCGCCCCATTGCTTGAATCTGTTTAATCAAAGAGTCCAGTGTTTATAATGACTCAGGTGGCCACACTGTGCTCTGAACACCCTCAGGCCGTGCACATCCTTGAGCTGCAGCTGTGACAGATGTCCGGTTTATCTCACTGGCTAGTGGTGTCTCTTCTCTCCACCAGATGGCGTGCTTCGTCACCATCTTCTTCCTGTGTACCTGCGTGTACTCCACCGTGTTCCGCATCAGGGTCTTCAACTACTACTACCTGGCCTCCCATCACCAGACCGACGCTTACAGCCTGCAGTTCAGCGGCATGTAAGTGATTGGAACTTTGAGTCAGAAATCTGGAGGGACTGTCGCTGTGCTCTGGTCTCAAGTTAGTTTCCAGTTAACACTGAATTCTACACATTCATTAGGAGTGGGAGGAAACGACGGGCGGTGTGATAAACCTCAGGAAAGTCTGATTCAGGAGCAGCTGGTGGAAGGACAGGATGTGTTAATTCGATGCAGAGTGTAATGTTGTGTCCTGAACTTGTCTTTGCAGGTTGTTCTGCCGTCTGACTCCTCCTCTGTGTCTGAACTTCCTGGGGTTGATCCACATGGACTCTGCCATCTCCCACCAGCAGAAGGAGCAGACGGCCTACACCTCTGTAAATCAGCCTCAGTGACGCTGCACCACTGTGATACCTGCTGTACGGTGTCTTAACCAGAATACGTGTCTGACTTGTGGTTTATCTCTGTGCAGATCATGGGGTCGATGCGTGTTCTCTCTTTCATCGCTAATGGCTTCTACATCTACTACCCCATGCTGATAGTGATCCTCTGCATCGCCACCTACTTCAGGTCAGCCAGGCTCCGCTCAGTGCTCTGACATGTGTGACCAAAGTCTGCCTCCCTCACAGACGAAGGCTCTGTTTACGTGGGGCTGCAACAACCAGCGCTCTGACTTCAGAGTGTGTCTGTGTGGTGCAGTGATTAGTCAGTTAACCTGTTCGTCAAGAATCAGATCATTAACTAGCAGCTGATTGGTTGTTCAGGTCATTTTCATATCAAACATTCTCAGCATGTGATAGAACAGTTTTGAACATGTGATAGCGTGATAGAGCTGCTGTAGCTGTGGCTGTAACAAGCTGTTTCCTCAGTCTGGGGACTCGCTGCCTGAACCTTCTGGGCTTCCAGCAGTTCATGGGCGACAGTGAGATGACCTCTGACCTGATTGATGAGGGAAAGGAGCTGATCCGACGAGGTACGTCCTTGGTTACAGTAATACTGTGCAGGCCAAGAGCGTGGGGCCTGGTGAGCTGTGCTAGTTAAACTGTAAATTTAATGTCAATCACTGTTTTAACAGAGAAAAGGAAGCGGCAAAGGATCGAAGATGGCGAGAACAGACGGAGAGTGAGTGGCTTCGATTTTTCCCTTGTTCAGACACATGATGCATGAAAGAAAAACAGAAATCAGTCTGAGAACAGTCTGAATTTATTTTAATACTAACTAGTGTTTAGGAAATTCCTTCTTTACAGCTGTCAAATGTGAATCAGAACAGGTGTTTAAGGTGTTGTAGTTAACAACACTGTGTCCACGAACTGCTCAGCAGCTCCAGAGCCAGAGGTTTCCCCCAGGAGGCGGTGGAGACCAAACCCAGAGCGAACAGAGAGGGAGCACTGGGCTGAGGCTCCTCAGGGGGACACGGACACACTGTGCACGGAGGAGGATGTTGTAACTGCTGGATGTGGCAGCTTTTTGTCAACATGTGTGAAATAATGTCTGCAGCACAATGCACTTGGCAGCACACTGCGTGCGCGACGTCAGTGTTTTGCATTCGACTACTGAGTCCCCCGTGCTGTCTCCACCTCCCTCTTTGCCTCTCTGCAGTTCACTATAAATAAAGGCTAAAAGCCCAAAACTCTAACTTAAG